ATACAGCGGGTGGAGCATTTATACCCGCGGTTAAACTCATTTATAGACCGCGGTTGAATCATTGAAAACGAGGAATAGAGACACCGAGAGAGCGGGACGAGACGGTGGAGCACACACACACACACACACACACACACACACACACACACACACACACACACACACACACACACACACACACACACACACGCACACACACACGAGAAACACGCTCAAAGAAACGCGCGCTCACAAACACGTATACACACACACACGCGCACATTGGCAGGGACACGCACGCGTGCACGCCCACGTACGCGCGTACGCACATGTTCACACCCACACGAGTGCGCACATGCCTATACGCATACGTACACGCACGCACGCACGCACGCACGCACGCACACGCGCTCCCTTTAGTTTCCCGGTAGGAGTTATTATGACAAACGCCGCACACACAGCCCTTCTCATCGCACCTGAGCAAAGGGCGCGCGCACGTGATCGCCGTGTCCGTAATACAAGCTCCACACCAGACACTTGTTAAAATGAGAACCCGTTACAACTATTATGCGCTCGTATAGGTTGTCGGTGGTTATTACGCGCTAGTTCGCGGGCTTAGGCATTGCGTAACTAATCCACTGCTACGTGGAGACTGCTGCTATACTGTAGTATCTGTACAAGTGTTGTCGTCATGGCGGTTTTCATAGCGCAGTCGCCGAGCTATAGAGGAGCGATTCTACGATCACATCTCGCGATATACGTATATAGGTGCCCGCGCGTACCTTTCACATGTATTAAAAATCACAAGCTCTCTCTATCTGTCTCTCCCCCTCTCTCTTTCTCTGTGTGTCTCTCTCTCTCTCTTTATTCATACTGAACAGATAATTTGAGAAAAAATAAAGTGACGTTTATTCTAGCTATTACAGGTGTACAAGAAATGCACCGGTGTTTACCAAGTCGCGTTTGCCTGTACAGAACGCGCATGCGTACGAGCAGACACACGTTATACATGCAGACTGCCATGGCTGTTTACAGCTACGATAGGGTTACCGCCGGTGAATATATGGCTATCACACGCGTCTATATTATTACTTCGCGATTAACGTGAACACGTATGGATACCTAACAGAATAATATACACATTGCCTCTAGGATTTACACTATATTTACATATATTAATCAAATCCGGTGCCCGGCGTACTAAATATATAGGCTTAACGTACTAACGGGTTTATCGATCATCCGTACCCGGGAATCAGTAAAGTATAGCAGCGCTACAGGCGCCTAGTGAACCCTATCTATACTACACGAGCACACATGTCCGCGATGGCGACTGACTGTGTGCGAGGCAGCAGCGATCACGCGCGCACAGCGACGCATCTCTCACTGCGACGCGGACATAACTGAATGCTCAACACACCATTACCGCCATGCGCTCACACACACGCGCACAAGCTATGCTCCTTCCGTGCTCTGCTCCCATTCCCAGCAAGCGATGAATGGTCGCATGTTTGCGCGCAGTGACAGCCGAACGATGAAAACGGTTTAGTTTACGACGCGAGGGCTAAAAACTTGGAAATATGAACCTGCTCTGTAAGACGCTGTCACCCACTGCATCAGTAGGAATCATCATCAGGTAGTGACCCCTGTATGTACGGGATCCACGGGTTTCCTCGTGCACTGAACAATGGTTTGCGCGGTTTACACATATTCTACGCACCGATGTTGAAATAAATAGGTCCGTGAAAACCTGCCGGATGGGGTGAGTCTATATTGTTTCGTCTGTGTGATTATTGAGGATTCACATGTAAAATATACACGTACGCGTCTATGAGCGAATTCGCCTTACACAGAACTGGCGACGGTAGAGCGCATGCGCGGGTGTCGATCATATCTCGACGATTGCTTGTATCTCAAATAATGATGAATCTATAATGTAAAGTGTACGATATTCGACACGGCGTCTTCCAAACACAATTTGAAGACATACATGTGCTCCTTATCCAAAGGGAGGATGAAGAGCATGACGTCATCATCCGACAGTAGCTAAACGAAACGACAACTACACACAGGAGACGTGATAATAGTATATAGCTACGTTTCCCATACGCTTGCTACGCTTGCACTTGGGCCTAAATAAAACACAAAGAGTATCGAGTTTGATGTGAGAAAACGATAAACGACAGGATGATTGTCATTAAGATTATCACGCGTCCGTCTTGACACGCCGGGGACTTTGAAACTAGAAGGAACATTTATCCTAATGCATCTAAGTAAGTAAAATCCAAAAAATTACACGCGCTCCTACGCGAGTACCTACGTATCTATGTTTATACATCTTCAATCACGACAACGACCGAAATTGGTTCATCCTATTAAAATATTAGATAAAAACAGCAATCAAACAAACACATAAACATACGAACAAACACTGCATGTATGATGCCGACGACTTAAACATAACTATCATATTTGTTTTATAGTAGCGCGTCGCCAAATTTACACGCTTTGACTTTCTGTTAAGAACAATTTGTAATAGTAAATACGAAGCTAAGATAGACGCTGACATACGGGTGTTTTTCCACTATGGTTAATACTCACACGAGTTTATTCTAAATGTAAATCAAAAATATAAACTTATATAATTAGGTTTACAAACGGATACCTACGCGTATTAAATGTTTAAAATCTATAAATCATTTATTCACGAATGTTCACACAATGCGCGTGATGACGTTTCCATTACATTTTCCCACACGATAAATGTAAGCGTCATACAGTTAACATCGTACTCCGCTGCCAGACAGCAGTAGTTTTAGACTGCATCATTATTGGTAGTTTAAACGAGCTGCTGGTGAAAATACGTCGCCCACGTCGTCTGCTACTTCCGGTGGGAGTTTACAACAACGCCACGTGATCACAATCCTCCAACCTCACGTCATCCATGTCAAACGCAATCCGTGTTTCGCGAAAATGACAACAGCGTCTACGCCAGAACTATTCGCGCCCGCAAGTGTTTTGGATAGTATCAGTGGCGCCAACTATTCTCAACGGATAGAGTTGTTTGCGTCGGACATCTAGAGAAGGAAGTCGCTGGGGCTGTTCTCACGGATCTGCAGTCGGCGTACGTGACTGTAGATCTTCAGTGCAGGTCCGAGCTTCAGATTGAGTCCGGTAAGCACATCGGATCTCTTCATCAGCAACAACGACTTGCCGTCGATCTCCTGCGAGCGAGAGGAAGATCCGCGCGTTATACACGACGCTCTGATATTTGGTCATTACATAAATCTATGATGAGATACCCCCTACCCATACCAAATGCATATCCATCACAAAATATAACTGCTCTGTTGAGATATTGCTCATGCGCTAACACACTAACGTAGCCAGATTGTGACGGAGTGAGCATCGGGAATATAGGAATATAGGTTTGTTGTTGAGCAATGGTGACGGACTATCCCTAGCATCATCCCTTGAGAAGGTGCCCTGAGGAAAGTTACACGTATACGCACACGCACGCATGCATTCGTACTCACGCACGCACGTGGACACATGCACGAACCCGCACACGCACGCATGCAATCGTACGCACGCACGCGCGTGGGCACATGCACGAACCCGCACACGCACGCATGCAATCGTACGCACGCACGCAGCCTCGGGCATGATGCGAACCCGACACACGCAGCGCATGCAATCGTAACGGCACGCACGCACTGGACACATTGCACGAACCCCGCACACGCACGGTCATGCAATCGTACGCACGCACAGCCACGTGGACACATGCACGAAACTCCGCACACGCACGCCATGCGCAATCGTACCACGCCACAGGCGGCCTTGGGGCAGTTGTACGAACATCGCACCACGCACGCTGCAATCGCTACGCACGCAACGCGCGTGGGCAGTTGCACGACACGTACACGGCACGCATGCAACTCGTACGCACGCACGCACGTGGGCATTGCCCGAAGCACACACACGCACGCATGGCAATGGTAGCGCATGCAACTTGCCGCGGGGCACATGCGACATGCACACCACGCTGCAATGTACGCAACTCCACGCACGTCGACACATGCACGAACGCACACGCACGCATGCAATGGTACGCACGCCGCGCCTGGCACATGCGAACATGAAATGCACACGGCAGGCGCATGCAATGTAGCAACGCACGCGCGTGGGCAGTGTTGCGCGAATCAAGCACACGCAGCGCATGTCAAATCGTACGCACGCACGGCACGTGGACACATGGCACGAACCGCACACGCACCAGAATGCAATGCGTACGCACGCACGGCACGGTGGGCAGTTGCCACGAAGCTTCGCACACGGAGGTGCATGCATGCCAATCGTACCACGCAAGTCACGTGGGCAGTTGCACGAACCCGCACCACGGCACGCATGCAAGGAAAATCCCGTACGTCACGCACGCGCCTGGGCCACTATGGCGAACTATGCACACGGCACGCATGACAATCGTACGCACGCACGCGCGTGGGCAGTTGCGCGAACCCGCACACGCACGCATGCAATCGTACGCACGCACGCACGTGGACACATGCACGAACCCGCACACGCACGCATGCAATCGTACGCACGCACGCACGTGGACACATGCACGAACCCGCACACGCACGCATGCAATCGTACGCACGCACGCACGTGGACACATGCACGAACCCGCACACGCACGCATGCAATCGTACGCACGCACGCGCGTGGGCACATGCGAACATGCACACGCACGCATGCAATCGTACGCATGCACGCACGTGGGCAGTTGCACGAACACGCACACACACGCACACGTCTATATGATAGGTACGTATTTTGATATATGGGTCAGACGCGCGCGCAGATCGTGATGACCAAGATGACAGTGAAAGATTAGGTAAAAGTTATCGACTTGCAAATTCGATCCTTAGCAAAAGATGATTAGTGTGAAGATCATGGACGACGCATCTTCGCCATATTGATTCTATGCGGGATCCCCTTACAGCGAGCAACCCCCCCCCCCTCTCCGTCGCAGCAGCAGCAGCAGCAGCAGCAGAGAGCTGGAGCTCTTTACCCGACTGCGCCACAAGCTGATAATTACAAGCAACAGAATTTCTCTTGTCACTATTAATATCTCGCTCATGGCTGCGTAGCGACACTACCAACATGTTCTGCTAGCATCTATGACAAATACGCATATATACGCTCTCCTATGACACTTTTTGTCATAGGAAGATTTTTCCTATGACAAATATTGACGAGTCAACTTCGTTCCGCTTTACAGCTGAAATTGACTGCTTGCGTTCATAATAGCGCTCCTAAACTCCTATGGTGCGCACAACACATACAACAATATTTGTCATAGGAAGAATCTTCCTATTACAAATAGTGTCATAGGAGAGCGTATATGCGTATTTGTCATAGATGCTAGCAGAACAGGCTGACACTACACACACTGTTGTCGCTGCCTATATAGCGTGTTTCGCTGCCGAACTCTAGTGAGTATGTTGTGTAGACGCACGACCATGATCGCGCAGCTGCTAGGAAAAGATGGAGTGGCGCGTTTTTTTAATCCTTTTCGGCGATTTCTATCTGTGTCAAGCTGGAATTGCTTATCTTCGAGAATGAGGAAGAATTTTTACTCGATGATCGTGATGTAACTGCCAAATCTGCCGTGACTATGGAATTTGGACAGCTGCTTTCACTTCCACATTTTCCTCATCGCGTGCGCCATTCCCCTCTCTTTCTCGGTGCGCACTATCTTTCGCTGCTCCTCCTCCCTTCCCGCTGTCATCTTCCCTCCCACGGCTTCATATCTTCCTCTGCTTCTTGTTTCTCCCTCTCCATCTCCTTGTCCCTATACGTAGGTCCCGTTTCTATTTTGTGTCTTTCCTCTGTTACGATATAACCGGCGACATTTCGTACGCACCCAAACATTCTTACCTACCGGCATATCGCGGCAACACGCAGACCTGTCCTAGATATCCTCCCTTTGATACCGCGGATAACCGTGTTAAAGATGGAATTCGCCATATATATATATATATATATATATATGTATGTATATATATATATTGGTATATTTATAGTGAGCCGACACGCAGCTAATTAATATTATATTAATATGATTAACATTATTAATTACCTGCTCGCGGAATGCCGCTGCCTGGTCCAGGAAGCCGACATCGATGAAATAGTTGACGACTTCCTCTATCGCCCAGTCGGACGCATCCGGGATCTCGTCGCTGCCTGGGTGACACTCTCCTACCTTGTTCAGCATCTCATCCGTCTTGATCGCCGTCGCATACCTGCAGCGATGACGTCATGGGACTCAAAGTAAACGATCGAGCGAGGCAGGGATGATCAGACATCAAGCAGCGCGCAGGCATATGTCACCGCGGCTGTACATTTCACCGCGGCTGTACATGCGACATGAGGTGTAGAAGTAGTGCAGCCTCTAGGCGTGCGAAATTGACGCGTGATTGCTAATAATTGCATCTACAAATGCCGCGCGACGCTGTCGCTGCAAATTAGAAACGATTCTATATATATGCGTGTCGTTATGATTGTCGTCGAACCTCATCGCGCGTGTATGCAACAGCTTATATTGAAACAATAGTTTCTAATTTTCTAAACTGTCGTCAAACGTTACAGTTGGTCGGTGTCGCTGCGGTGTGTCATGACCGTTACCCGCACACACACGCACACAATTATAAATAATACATTGCATTCATTACACAGAAAAAAAAACATTCGAATCCGGATCGTCTTTCAAGAAGTAATTTCTTCCTTCGAGTTACTGTACGCCATCATTACCAAGAGTGTGACGTCATTGACAACTGCCGCGGGGAAAATGCAGGCGGTCCGCCATGGAGAGAAGATAGCGAACGTAATCTAACCAAACATGTAGAAGTCGTTACCGCCCGGTCGTCGTCGCGCGCGGTTATGCCAGGCCAGCCCGGGGAGATATCGTTTGCGGTTCCACACTCATAGTCACTGATACCAACTAACGCGTGACGGTGGCGCGCTAAAGTAAGCTATACCAGCAGCTGCATCATAGTTTGATGCTTTATAAGATGAAATGAGCGTCTCTGTGATGGCTTGCGGTATAGCCGCTCTCCCGTCACGCGCGCTCAGAAAGAAAACCGCGCGCGCCCGCCTTCTTAACATATAGCGCGTATTTGCGAGAGAAAACAAACCAGCACACGCACACACACACACACGGATATCCACGCACGCGCGCACGCGCACACGCGCACGGGCATCCACGGGCGTACGCGCGCGCACACGCGCATGGATATCCACGCACGCACGCGCACGGATACCCACGGGCGTATACGCGCGCACGCGCACACACATGCAAATACACGCACTAGCATTCATGCGCGTACGCACGTACGCACGCACGCACGCACGCACGCACGCACGCACGCACACACACACACGCGCGCACGCTTACATGTTCATCGGTTCTCCGTTAACGGGGGAGTCGCACGGAGTCGGCAGACAGGAGGCTCCATCTAAGCCGTCGACACCGCCGAGTGAGGAGTCCTGGGACGCCGTCTCCGCCTCGCTCGTACCGTTGTCGGCTGGATCGCGCACACCATCGTGCTCGCACTTGAAACAAACCCACTTCCCTGGAAATAGAGGAACAGGGCCCGTAGTATATAGTGTAGTACATAAATATATATATTATATATATACAGTCATGCAGTATATATATATATTATATATATATATATGGGTATTGGTGTCGATGTAATTTCGTCATTACACGCACTAAACGATCACACAAGTCCAAAAACACGATTCGAAAAATATTTTAGCGTCGATGTTTTAACGATGGGATAAAACGTCTGCACTGCTCGCTTCCGGTGCCAGCGGAAACGGAACAGATTAGTGAGTGAGAGTAGCTATTTATGCACTGATCTAAGGATGCGTGTGAGAGGATAGTGCGCAGGAAGAAGATCTCGTCTTACTACAGCACGAATAAGCGAACTACAGCTACGGAAGGTGAGCGGGTGCGTGTGAGCAAGCAGAAATATCGGTGGTGACGTCAGCGTGTATGGCAAGCATTTTGTATCATAATTCGAGAAACCACGGTTCCTCGCACGAAACCAGTTTTCGTGCTCACAAAACCTGGTTTCTTGCTCAAGAAACCAGGGTTTTTGCCATGAAACTAGGTTTCATGGCATGAAACCTGGTTTCTAGCCCTATAACCGCAGTTATAGCTGGAATCTTAGTTTCTTGAGCAAGAAACTAGGTTTTGGGAGCAAGAACCTAGGTTTCAGCAAGAAACCCACTTTCAACCGCGCCATTTGTATAATAATTCGAGAAACCATAGTTTCGAGCGACAAAACCAGGTTTCGTGCTGACAAAACCAGGTTTCTTGCCATGAAACTAGGTTTCATGGTATGAAACCTGGTTTCTAGCCCTATAACCGCAGTTATCATAATTCGAGAAACCATAGTTTCGAGCGACGAAACCTAGTTTCGTCGTTGCTAAGGCCCGTATCTAGGATTCGTAATCCCGAACGTGACGTCAACGTAGTTCAGCCACTCGGGGCCACTGCTCAGTAAATACTATAGAAATAACATGCTAGTTAGGCTAATTAATTAAATATTGTATAAATTAATTAAATATGCTGTGCTATTAAATGTATGAGAGTGTACGTGCGTGTATCTGCGTGTACCCGCGTGCACGTGCGTGTACCCGCGTGTACGTGCGTGTACCAGCGTGTACCCGCGTGCACGTGCGTGTACCAGCGTGTACGTGGGTGCATGTGTGTGCGCGTGTGTGTGTGCGCGCTCTCGTTTGTGCATGCGCGCTCGGGGGTATGAGTAGAGTGAGAGGCTGAGAGCTAGTAGATTTGTCGCAGCGGTTACTGGCTCTCCCGCGGGATTGCTTTAGCGCGTGATGTTACATTGTTTTACGCGCACAGGGTTCTTCACGCGCGCGGTTTTACGCGCCGCGCACAGCGCCACCCCGCGGCGAACAATGAACGAGAACGCGGAGAACGGTCAGCGTCTCGCCGCCAGGTGGCGCCACCCCCGTGGTGAAGCAAGCTGGCTCGCTGCCGTAAGCGTACATTATTTATGGCCGTAGCTAGCCGCTGGCGCTAGAGTGCGCGCGCGCGCCCGCTGACACGCAGACGAACGAGGTTCGACGCTAACAGCAAGCATCGGCCGTGAACTGTAGCGTCGGCGCGTGCGTGTGCGCGCCCGTCGTGCATGTGTGTGGGTGTGTGTGTGCTGGTGCATGCGCGTGTGTGTGAGCGTGTGTTTGCGCGTGCGTGTCTGTGAGTGTGTGCTTGCGCGCGCGCGTTTGTGTGCGTGTGTGCGTGCGTGCGTGCGCGCGTGCGAGTGTGTGCGAGTGCGTGTGCGTGCGTGCGTGTACGTGCGTGCGTGAGTGAGAGGGGTGTTTGTGTGTGGAGGGGCGTGTTTTGCGGATATCCGCACGATAGCACACCGATGCACGCCTGTCGCGCTATACGAACGCTCTCTTGCTCCCTCGGCCTTTAACGATCGCTGTCGAAACACGTACCGTAACCTACTTAGCCAGCGATGCTACACAGGCTCGCTCAAACACGTCGACAGACATGGCACCCGCGTGCATTTACACACACGCGCGCACACACACGCGCGTACGCCCGCTACGTACATAGCCGCACACACACAGTACCCCCGCACGTACACAGCCGCACACACACTGTACCCCCGCACGTACACAGCCGCACACACACAGTACCCCCGCACGTACACAGCCGCACACACACAGTACCCCCGCACGTACACAGCCGCACACACACAGTACCCCCGCACGTACACGGCCGCACGTTGTCACTACGAGTGTCGCGCTAACACGTATTTACCTGTCGGTTTCTTTGCGACCTTCGGCGTGTGACATTTCATGTGATAGCCCTTGTCGCAGGCATCGCAAAACAGCATGGAATCCTGCAACGACAGAACAGATATTATATATTATAAAGGATACTCTCCACCTTTTGCACGGGTATTGCTCTAATGAAGATTAAACGTTTATTGGCGAATGAATCGAATCAATCACTTGTTTTATTTATAGAGGAGATATATCCTTATGCTCAAGCCAAAAAATTTCATGAAATTTCCAGCACCTAATTATGTTACCACACAAATTTTGAATTTTTATGTAAAAATTGTATTTTGGATATTTCTCAACTACCAGAAAGAGTGAGGATACAAAATTTTTTCCACATGTTAAGCACAATATGGACCAAAATAGTGCGTCAGGATTTTTCTTTAAGTTTCATATTTACCGAGAAAAATGGAAAAAAATGCTTAAAAATCAAGTTGTGTGTTAGAATTGAAAATTTTTGCGAATAAAGAAGCATAACTAATAAAATACGGCACTTAAAGGACAATTGAAGTAAAATTTTATAACTTCTGTAACGTTTTTATACATAGAAATACATTCAATAACGTATTCCATTTCAAATCCGGCGCCCGCAGTTCAAATCCGCAGTAAGAAACACATGAATATTAGTCTAGGTCATGTGACGTCACAGTCCCATGTTGAAACACGCCATTATGTAAACATAGTGCGTGTGGTGTATAAGATGGAGACAGAAAGCGATAATTTCAATGATTCTAGTGATTACTCAGATGATAATGATATTTATAGTGATTTACCAGTTGGATATAGGTTTGAGCCTGAATATACACACAAGAAGAAATTGAGAAGAATCGTCTGAAAAAGCAACGCGAAGAGTCGGCACAAGCTTCTCAAGAATCAGAACAGTCACAATTCATGGCGGAATCCGAATGGATACACCTGAATGTATATGCTGCCATGAGAATGAGAAGACCAGGGTTATTGTAGACCAGTTCGACGCTAGACCAGGTGAGGCATGCGAGTACACTGATCACCGGGCTTGTCACGCTCGGTCAGAATCACATGTATCTGTACATGTACAAACATCTCTACGCAAGTCATGTACATATACCGTTAATGCATTATCCACACAGGTAATATGTATGTACATGAATATAAGTACATTTACAGGCTACATGTTTGTTGTATGCTGTAACAATACTTTCACCTAGCATAACATATACAAGCGTGTTAGCACTGTTACGCTATATAATGGCGTGTTTCAACATGGGGCTGTGACGTCACATGACCTAGATTAATATTTATGTGTTTCTTACTAATTGAGCGCCGGATTTGAAATGGAATACGTTATTGAATGTATTTTGTACACGCGGGTGCACGCGGATACACGCACGTACACGCACGTACACGCGGGTACACGCAGATACACGCACGTGCACGCGGGTACACGCACGTGCACGCGGGTACACGCACGGGCACGTACGTACACGTGTGTGCACGCGTCTGCACGCGGGTACACGCACGTACACGCGGGTACACGCGGGCACACGCACGTACACGCACGTGCGCGCGGGCACTTGCACGTACACGCACGTACACGCACGTACACGCACGTACACGCGGGTACACGGAGATACACGCACGTACACGCACGTACACGCACGTACACGCGGGTACACGCACGTACACGCTGGTACACGCACGTGCACGCGGGTACACGCTGGTACACGCACGTACACGCTGGTACACGCACGTGCACGCGGGTACACGCAGATACACGCACGTACACTCTCATACATTTAATAGCACAGCATATTTAATTTATTTATACAATATTTAATTAATTAGCCTAAATAGTATGTTATTTCTATAGTATTTACTGAGCAGTGGCCCCGGGTGGCTGAACCACGCTGACGTCACGCTCGGGATTACGAATCCTAGATACGGGCCTAGGCAACGACGAAACTAGGTTTCGTCGCTCAAAACTATGGTTTCTCGAATGGCGCGGTTGAAAGTGGGTTTCTTGCTGAAACCTAGGTTCTTGCTCCTAAAACCTAGTTTCTTGCTTAATAAACTAAGATTCCAGCTATAACTGCGGTTATAGGGCTAGAAACCAGGTTTCATGCCATGAAACCTAGTTTCTTGAGCAAGAAACTAAGTTTTGTGAGCACGAAACCTGGTTTCGTGCGAGGAACCGTGGTTTCTCGAATTATGATACAAATGGCGCGGTCGAAAGTGGGTTTCTTGCTGAAACCTAGGTTCTTGCTCCCAAAACCTAGTTTCTTGCTCAAGAAACTAAGATTCCAGCTATAACTGCGGTTATAGGGCTAGAAACCAGGTTTTATGCCATGAAACCTAGTTTCATGCCAAGAACCCTGGTTTCTTGAGCAAGAAACTAGGTTTTGTGAGCACTACCACGCCCGCTTCCACGCACGCGCCCGCTTCCACGCACGCACACCCGCTTCCACGCACGCACCCGCTTCCACGCACGCACCCGCTTCCACGCACGCACCCGCTTCCACGCACGCCGTTTCACGCACGGCGCCCGCTTTCCACGCCGGCTTCCACGCCACGCATGCTGCACGCACGCCCGCTTCCAACGCACGCACCCGCTTCACCGCACGCACGGCGTTCCACGCACACACCCGGCCCATCACGAAACGCACCGACTTCCACGGCACGGCACGGCTTCAACGCACACACCGCCTTTTTTTTTTTCCCCCCACGACACGCACCCGCTTCATGCCCACGCAACACCCGCTTCCACGCACGCACGCCTCACGCACGCACCCGTTTCACGACGCCACGCTCTCACGCATCACGACCCGCCTCACGCACGCACGC